CCCCCCCGATCTTAACATCTTCGAAATTGGAATGTGTTTCATCATCACTGATGTGCCCTGGTTTAACGGTCTGTTAAATTGAGAAACTGAAACTATCTTTGCCAAAGAATTTCCAAGTTTTAAAAACAAAAAACAACCACCACCAGTTAATGGTAGAAAATGGCTGCTTCGTTTGCCAATATATTGTTTATTAATTCTAATATTCTTAGAATACTGTATATGTGTACATGTATGTTATATTTAGTGTTATAGACTTTAGCGTAAGTCATTCATTTTTATTTAGTTTTTAAAATTTTTATATTTCAATTTCTTTGTATAGTAGAATTTTTGAATATCTGCTGATCTTAAAAACATCTCATCTACTGAGACAGGGTCTCGCTCTCCATTCCTCCCCTCCTTCACCACTAATTCTGGTCCAGTTTGGAACCACAAGAAGACACTCAGAATTGCAGCTGGTCCCTTTCTTACTTATTAGGACTCAACTGCACTTGCTTGGCTGAGAAACACATGCAGGAGGGGTGTGCCCTGTTCCAGGCTTGCCCTTGGGCTGACTGGGTAGTTTGCCATGACAGTAGATGTAGTCAAGTCTCAAGTCCCCAGTGCTCATTGGTAAATTTACCGGATGTTTGATTACCTTAAAGTTTTCCAGATCATTGACCAGGAAGGTTTCCTTGCTGCTCTAGAGGAATATTGAATGGCCACAGGGAAACACTGAGTTAAAAGAAGCAAAAGGAACTGATATAAATCAGAAAAGAAGTGGATGACAGTTATCAGGAAGAGCTAGCTAGTGATGGTGTCTGTGGATAGGATGGCTTTTGCATCTGGGTGAGAAATAAAGGGTCTTGCTGAAGATTTCTGCTGTTCTTTAAACCAGAGCTTCCAGGTGTGAATGCACACGGATCACTGGGGAGCCTGTTAAGAGGGTAGATTTTTATTCAGCAGGTTCAGAGCAGGACTCAAGATTCTCACAATCTGCCAGTGGGAGCCAGAGCCCACTTTGAGGAGGGCTTCAGTCCTGAGGAGCCAGGATTATGTAACTGTCTTACCCGCCTTCACCACCAGATGGCAGCATGTCCACCCCTGGCAGCTCAACTCTCTTTAGGGCCCCAGGACAAGCTTTGATCTCTCACTCATAATGCAGGACTTTTCAAGTGGGAACAGATGCAGCCCTCTGAAGCTTTCCTTCCTGGTCCTCCAGGGGGAGCCAGCTGCTCTCTGTTCTGTGCTGGTGCCAGCATCTATAGCACGGACTGGGAGGATACTGGAACCTTCTCTGTGTGTTGGTTTCCCTCACAGAGGGAGCCTGTGGCTCAGAGGCGTGGTTTCCCATCTTCGAATCTCTCAGCACCAAGACCGGCCCTGCTTCAGGGCTGTCCATGAATAAGGGGGGACTGTTGTAGCTAGACGTTGCTGTTGCTTTAAGTCATCCTCCTCTGTTACTTCCCTGAACTGTGATATCAGTTACTGGCTGCCGCATAACAGACCCCCCGAAACTTACTGGCTTAAAACAATAAACATGTATTCAGTTCCTGATCCTGCAGATCAGAAGTCTAAGCTGGGCTGTTCTCATAGTCTTAACTGAACGCTTTCAAGTGTCTCTACCTTGCTGATCTTGGCCAGGCTCCTTAACATCTATGGGGCCTCAGCTGGGATAACTGGACTGATTCCTCTTTGTTCTATGCTGTCTCATCCCCCAGAAGACCAGCCTGGACCCGTTCACATGGCAGAGACCAAGGTCCCAAGAGAGCAAATAGAACTAAACAAGACCTCTTGAGGCCTAGGCTCAGATCTGGCACAAAAATCACATCCCCTGCATTCTATTTGTCATAACTAGTCATGCAGCCAGGCCAGAATCAAGGGTGGGGAATAGGCTCCGCCTCTCGATGGGAGGAGCTGCAAAGTCACATGGCAAAGCATGTGGGTACTTGGAGGGGTACAGAATTGTAATTGCAGCCTTCCACAGCTGTGATCTCTGAATTTGACAGCATCCCCTGGCGTTTTTTGCAGGACTGAGTAATGGTGAAGGACCCGTTAGTGAGAGTGACGTTTTCCAGAGGGCCTCTGCGGAGCTGGTGAAGTACATGAACTCAGGAAGCCAGTTATTGCATAAGAACTTTCTGAAGCAAGATGTAGTTCAGAAGTTCTTGCGCCTCCTTTCTTCTCTGCAAGGTAAATTTTCTCGCAGATTCAATTGTGTGCAAGGTGGTTTATGCTCATTAAAGCTCTTTTTGAATATATTTTAGAAATGGATTTAAAAATGTAATAACCTACATGTAAAACAGCCAGACAGCTCCGAACATCAATTATTACCAGTGAAAAGTTCGTCGTCCACCCATGAACTTCAGTCCCTAAGTCCTGTCCCCAAGGCAACCTCCATCACTAGTTTTTCATGCCTCCTCCTAGATTACTCTTTGCGTAGACTATCCTTTTAAAAATACCACAGATGTCTCTCTTCTGTAGATACTGGCTAACATTGGGGCATATAATTATTGTATAATTGAGTGTTAATTTTTTTCATTATGAGGAAATCCGAGAAATTCCAGAAAAGAATTTTAGATGACAAACTAGAGATAATTAGGGAAGATTCTAGAAATACCAAGTAGGTGAAATTTAGTTTTTAACATCGGCAGTCAGTATGGGCTATGAAGCATTCACTTGGACCATGTGTAGGGCTGAAATTTCTTAAGTCTACAGAGAATACAGGAAGGCAGGGCTAGAAGACCCACAATGCTCTTCAGGGTATGCAGTTTAAGGCTTGGAGTTTTGGATCTTAACTCTACCACTTACCAGATCTGTGACAGTACTGACGGGTGGGAGAACACTTTTATCAGAAGATAAGAGCATAGATTCTGGGGCACAAAAATTGCAAATGTTTGTTACAAAAGTTTATATTTTATGCTTTTGTTTTGCTGGTTCCTGTTAAGATAATAGGATAGCCTGTATTGACATTTTTTTCTTGTTTTCAAATGAACATTTTAAATATTAAAATGAATATTCATTTAGAAGTCTTAGGAAAAGATGGGAAGCAAAAACTAGCAAATACAAATCAAATCGTTCTTCCTTTCCCTTCCTTCCTGCTTTTCTTACTGATAGAATTGCCAGACAAAATACAGGATGCCAGTTGAATTATAATTTCAGATAAAAAATGAATATATTTTTAGTATAAGTATGTCCCAAACATTGCAAGAGACATACAAATGCTGAAAATTTGTTTATCTGAAATTTGTTTATCTGAAATTTCAATTTAACTGGCATCTTATATTTTTATTTCCTAAATCTGGCAATGTACTTGCTAAGTTTTCCACACTTAAGATACACCAGCATCATGAACAGGGATAACCATTACCCTGTCCCTAGACATTAGAGACCAGCTGGAAACATTTAGGTTTCTGGGAACAGAATTAGGAATTGGGGGTCAAACCATCCTCTCACCATTATCTGTAATTCTTGACTTTTTAATTATCCTGTAGTGCCTCCCTGTATTTCAGTGTTCCTTAAGCAGGACAAACTCTTTATATTATGCAGAATTTAAGCCGGGCTCCTGCCCTTTGATCTCAGTAGACTACCTTAACTCAAGTATTCTTCCTTAAGACAGTCAAAATTCTGCTCTCCTCCTGGACCAGACTCTACTCTCCTTAGAGTATTTCTAACCTTCCCAAGAAGCTTTGCGAGTAATTCATTACTTGTTTATAGTTTCTCCAGTGCTTAAAACTACTGATCAGCCTGGCTTGTGTAGCTCAGTTGGTTGAGGGTCCTCCCATACACCAAGAGGTCCCCGGTTCAATTCCCAGTCAGGGCACATGCCCACGTTTCAGGCTCCATTCTCAGTAGGGAATGTGCAGGAGGCAGCTGATCAATGCTTCTCTCTCATCAGTGTTTCTATCTCTCTCTCCCTCTCCCTTCCTCTCTCTCTAAAATCAATAAAAACATTTTAAAAACAAACAAAAAAACCCTACTGATCAGTAACTTGTGTTAATTGCATATATATGTGTTTAGTTGTGGTTGGGGACAGAAACTATATGAACCTCTTTTTGGAATATGGTGTGTTCTTGTTTTTGAAAGAAATTCCTCCTGACCTGGTCTGTGACATTAACCGTGACTGTGCCAACACCTTCATCAAGTTTTTACTGGAAAAGCAGAGATGGCCTGAAGTGCTTCTTCTGCTGACCCGCAAAGTGAGTGGGGAGCCCCCACTCGGAGAGAGCCTCCTCAAAGACTGTAACTTCTCGGACCTCGACCTCTGCTCTGTCATTCCCCCGCTCAGGGCCTGGGACCAGCGCCGGATACAGCTCCTGGAGTGCCTGATAGACAGTGGAGGTGAGAATGCCGAGGTGCTGAGCACTGGGGGTTCCCTCCCATGAGAGCTCAGGTCACTGCCTGTTGTGTTTTTCACTCGATTTTGGAGACTCCTTTAAATTCTGCCTCCTTCCCTTCCTCTGTATCTTCTCATTTTGAAACAGCGAGGCCTGTCAGTGGGTGTTGCCCTAGGAAGTCTACATTTCTGTGAATTACAGTTAGGAGGAACCTCAGGTACGTGGAGGCAGTCCTTGGCCCTGGTTTGGTCCTCGGCAGTCACTGCCCCCCCAGCCCGTGGCTGGACTTTTCCCTGCACTGCATATACTGCATGGGTCCTGATCCACTCGGTGGTTTTTCCTTTCTAATCAACACATTGGGATTTCAGATGCTTGTTTTCAAAGAAACACTCAAATAATTGGTGGGCGGAAACACCTGCCTCTTCAGTCAGCACAATCACACTTGATTGGATGGACGTCTGGAGTGTGCAGCATCTTGCTGGATTGGGTTTTATTTTAAAACAAATTTGGAAACACCAACCTCCTCCCGCCCCCCCCATCCCCACTAATGCCATTGCTAGCTAGCTATGTGGCCTTGGGCCTGCTATTTGTGCCTTCGTCTCCTCGTTTATAAAATGGGAATGATTATAGTCCCTCTTAGGAATGTTTTGAATATTAAGTGAGTTCACAGATTGGCTCTCGTATAGCACCAGGGCTGTGGGTTTTCTGCTTGGTTTGCTGTTTAAGGGGAGTGATAACACATTGGTCCTCAGTTCTCAAAGTGCCATACGAAGCCCTCAGGCATTGACTCCAACCACAGGTTTCAGGAAGTGGATGGATGCCTCCGATAGTTTATTTCTTTAAACCTGTTCCTTGTATGGAGTGTTACTCCCTTTGCCCAGAAACTGTGACTCTCGCGGGATTCCAGTTTTATTCCTTTGTCACTGAGCCCTTATGGAGCATCAACCTGGGATCAGGTGCTAGGGCCCAGACAGAGAGTGAATGCATGGCTGTTGGAGGCCTGTGCAGGAGGGCTGCAGATCTCCAGCGGGTGCAGGTTGGGGAGCCTGCAGTGCAGAGGGGAGGCATGGACTGAGCTAAAGGAAGGTGTGTGGGGCTGGAGAGGTGTCAGGGAAGATGCAGCTGTGGGTAGATGAGCATTCTCGAGAACAAGCTTCGTAGAAACATAGGATGTTAGGAGTAGTGCTCATGTCCTGATCACCAACTGTGCGGTAGGTATGGTGCCAGGCAAGCACTGGGGTTCAGTTGTTTGCAGGCCCTGTCCCTCCTCCCCATCAGTGCTGATGCTGGAGTCTGTGTCCTGTGGTGGGACCACAGGGGGAGCTAGAAAGCTGGGAGAGACCAGGCAGATGGAGGGCACTTGAGAAGGAGTTGGGCTTTCACTCTGAGGGTGCTGGGAAGCCTTTGCCTCCCAGAAGATGGTAGCGGGGCCTCAGAAGTCAGGTGAGCATCAGCTCTTCCCAGGGGATAAATGGCAGAGGTGGTCCTGCCCTTCCCAGGTGAGCCGGGCTATACCTCGCCACATAAATGCAGCTCACGGGTGCTCTTTTGTTTCTCCCCCAGCCTTGCCACAGGGTCTCCAGGACAGCCAGGCAAGGCCGCTGGCCACAAGCCTGAAGCACAAGGACTTTGAGTTGGCCTTTCTCCTTCTAACCAAGGGTGCGGACCCCCGCGGCATTTCTCTCTCAGACGGTGACACTCCTCTGCATGCGGCTCTCCACATCTTTTTAGATGTCAACGGTAGGCCTCTATTTTCAAACTGTCTTTTCCTCAAGAAGGAGGCTGGATATTAGAACCCATGCTCTGGTGTGTTTTTTTCTGTTGGGAAAACCAGTGATCTGGAAAAAGCCTGTTTCTTGGCAAGGCCTGCCCCTGGCTTGATGGGATGGAGTAACCATCATGGTGAATGATCAGGGTGGGTCGATTGAGGAGGATTCTTAAGTTTCAGAGTTGGCTCCATAGCTAACAGATACTTTCTGTTTATTTACACCGTTTTTAGGGATCCTGACATAAAGATCTAGAATATTATAAGGTTATCTCAGCGTTTCTCATTGGCACTGTTAACATTTGGGCTGGATAATTTTTTGCCGTGGGCACTGCCCTGTGCTCTGTGGGATGTTCAGCAGCATCCTTGGCCTCTACCCACTCTATGCCAGTAGCATCTCTCAGATTGTGATAATCAAAAATGTCCCCAGACTTTGTCACATGTCCCTTGGGGAGCAAATTGCCTCTGGTTGGGAACCACCCGGTTATCAAATACTTAGGGGAGTTAGGTGTTCTAAGACACCCCTGGCCGGCATCTCTCTTAAATCCAGAGGTCTCTGTTCCCCGAGAAGAGGCTCAGCACTCACAGGGTTTTGTCTGTGTCTTTCAGCCGACATCGGTTTCAGCTTCCTCAACCACCTGTTGGGTCTGTTCTGGTCCAACCCCTCCAAATTTGACTACCTCAACCCCAATATCCAGGACAGCAACGGGAACACACTGATGCACACCCTCTTCCAGCGGGGCATGCTGAAGCGCATGAAGAAGCTGTTGAACCTGCTGGCAAAGTTCGACATCAACTTCAACCTGAAGAACAGAGAGGGCAAGGACGCACGGCACCGGATTAAGAAGAATGACCCTCTGCTCGTGGCCTGGAACAAAGCTGTGTCGGAGAGCCGGCGGAGGACCCGGCAGGACTCTGCCGCCCACCCAGGGAAGCTCCCGAGGGCGAATGCCCCTGGTCACACGTCTCAGCTCAAGTCCCAGGCTCCATCCAAGCCTCTGCTGTGTGGTGTCACTGCCAGCTCCCTGCCCGAAGGAGCCAAGGTCCCTGACAGCTGGGAGACTCTTCCAGATGCCCAGGTGATGAAGCAGGAGCCCCCAGTGGTCACGCCCTGCTCTCAGAGAGACTGCCTTGTGCAGGACATCATGGATCTGATCAAGAAGCTAGCATTGGATGCGCCCCTCCCAGAGGACCGTCTCCAGGACTCTAAGCCTCTGGAGACAGGAGCTGGCACAGAAGTGAAGAAGGACGAGCTCCAGAGAGCCCTGGGGGTGGCGTGCTCTGACGGTGCTGGGAACAACCCTGCTGGCCCTGAGGCAGGGGGTGAACATGCTCAGGCGGACCTTGTTGCCTTGCAGCTCATTCCTGCTGGTCCCAGAGGCAGGGAGAACAGCAGTGATCAGGACAACTGGCAGGAGGTGGAGACCTGCCTCCAGGACTTCGAGAATATGACGTGGGAGATTGAGTGTACTTCAGAAATGCTGAAGAAGCTATCCAGTAAAGTGATGACCAAGGTCATGAAGAAGAAAGTCATCCTAGCCATCCATCGGCTGGGGAATGGCGAGTGGACCCAGGGCCTGCAGAAGCGGCTGAAGAACCTGAAAGGGAACATCCAGCTCTTCGAGGCCAAGCTGGACAAAGGAGCACGGATGCTGTGGGAGCTCGCCATTGACTTCTCCCCCCGTTGCAGTGAGAACCCGGAGAAGATCATCGCCACGGAGCGGGGCTCACACTCCACGGAGAAGTCGGGGCGGATCTATACAGAGATCATCCGGATCTGGGACATCGTCTTGGACCACTGCAAGCTGTCGGACTCCATCAGGGCCATCTGCAGCGCCTACAACCGGGGCCTGTCCTGCATCCTGCGGAAGAAGCTGAAGGGCATCAACAAAGGCCAGGTGTTGGCCAACATGAAAATCCGAAAGCGGATACCGCGCTGCTACGTGGAGGACACGGAGGCCGAGAAGGGCGGGGATCCCGTGGAGCCCGAGTACTTCCCCCCGGCCAGCGCGGTGCAAACGGAGTACAACATCATGAAGTTCCACAGCTTCAGCACCAACATGGCCTTCAACATCCTCAACGACATGACGGCCACGGTGGAGTACCCCTTCCGCGTGGGCGAGCTCGAGTACGCCGTGATCCACCTCAACCCCAAGCCGCCAGAGCCCATCATCCTGATCGGGCGCAGTGGCACCGGGAAGACCACCTGCTGCTTGTACCGACTGTGGAAGAAGTTCCACAGCTACTGGGAAAAAGCCGAGCAGGCAGGAAGCCCGCTGCTGGCCAGGCAGGTCTGGCTGAGGAGGAGGTTAGACGTGACGCTCAGGACGGAGGGACCGGGCGGGGAGGAGGAGGGGGAGGAAGAGGAGGGGGAGGAGGAAGACTCCATGGAAGCGGAGACGGCGGGCAGCTTAGAGGAGGAGCAGGAGAGTGACGCCTGCGCGGGGGGAGCCGGTGGGGACCCTGCGGTGCCCGGCCAGGGGGCAGAAGCAGGTGCCTCAGACGGTCCCCAGCAGCTGGAGCATTTACACCAGATCTTCGTGACCAAGAACCATGTGCTGTGCCAGGAGGTGCAGAGGAACTTCATTGAGCTCTCCAAGTCTTCCAAGGCCACCAGTCACTACAGACCGCTGGAGCCCAGCGTTCACAGACTCCAGGACCTGCGGGATGAGAACTTCCCCCTGTTCCTCACTTCCAAGCAGCTGCTCCTCCTGCTCGACGCCTCCCTGCCCAATCCGTTTTTCCTGAGAAACGAGGACGGCAGCTTGAAAAGAACCATCGTTGGGTGGTCCACGCAGGAAGAGTCGTCCATCTCCAACTGGCAGGACGAGGAGGAGGAGCCCGAGGTGGATGGGGACAGTGGGGAGGAGGAAAGGGCTGTGGAATCGCGGTCGTGCGACGTTGACCCCCGGGTGTACGTGACATTCGAGGTGTTCTCCAGTGAAATATGGCCCAAGATGAACAAAGGGAAAACCTCCTACAACCCTGCGCTGATTTGGAAGGAAATAAAATCTTTCCTGAAGGGGTCTTTCGAGGCCCTCAGCTGCCCCCAGGGGAGACTCACGGAAGAAGAATATAAGAAGCTAGGGAGGAAGCGGTGCCCCAATTTCAAGGAAGACCGGAGCGAGATTTACAGCCTCTTCTGCCTGTATCAGCAGATCAGGTCCCAGAAAGGCTACTTCGACGAGGAGGACGTTCTGTTCAACCTGTCCCGGCGGCTGTCAGAGCTCAGGGTGCTCCCGTGGTCCATCCACGAGCTCTACGGTGACGAGATTCAGGACTTCACGCAGGCTGAGCTCGCGCTGCTGATGAAGTGCATCAATGACCCCAATGCCATGTTCCTCACCGGGGACACGGCCCAGAGCATCATGAAGGGCGTGGCCTTCCGCTTCAGCGACCTGCGCTCCCTGTTCCACTACGCCAGCAGAAGCACCGTGGACAAGCAGTGGGCCGTCCGGAAGCCCAAGAGGATCCACCAGCTGTACCAGAACTACCGGTCCCATTCGGGTATGACCAGGGCTTGGGAACTTACCTCGGGCTGCTTTGGGAGCTGTAGGCTAGCTTTTGTTAGGCTTTTGTAGCTTCAGTAAGGGTAGTATTTTGGAGTTTGTTAGTAAGTAAATACACTCACAAACAAGGTCTTATGATTTTTGCCACCACTTATCTCTAGGTTGATAATTAAGCTGTGGTTGAGTGGAAATGGACAGTTAACCTTTAAAAGACGACATTTAAAAGACAGCATCATACAAACTCCATATACTTAACAGGATCAACTGTACAAATAATGGTTTCTTTCCTTTTGCCTGTAAAAAAGAACGTATATGCTTAGGTTTCTGAGTATTTAACCTTTAAAAGACGGCATTTAAATTCTGTCAGCATTTAAATTCGGCCAGCGGGGCCCACTCCTTGCCAGGAACTAAAGTTCCCTTTCATCAGATAAAGGCTATGTAATTATATCTTAGGGAGTTTCCCATGACATGAAAACATTTCAGGGGGATGTTTAAACTGCTGAGAACTTGCATTAAAGCACTTTGGGAGCACCTGCTTATGCAATGGAAAGTAATGCGTGAATTACAAGTTATTAATTCTTAAACTACCTTTTCTATTAAAGAGAAGCCAAAAAACAGGAGTGGCAGGTGAGAGATAACACATTCTCAGGTGCTTTGAACTTGTACCTCAGTTGTGCCTGCATGATGCCAGGCAGTTTTCATCTAATACCTGTGCTTTCTCCTCAACCCATCAGGTAGGCATCATTCCCATTTTACAGAGAAGGAAAGTGAGGCACAGAGGGTTTAAATAACATAACAGCAATCCCAGAATACTACTTTGTGGTTTATAGAATGCTCACAAATTCACCTCCTGTGTCCTGTATGTGTCCATGAACAATATACAGTATTATTTTATGTGCTTAGAAATTTTATTTAATGGGATCACGCCAGAGGTATCCTTTTGCAACTTCGTGTTTCTGCACAACTTTACACTTCGGGATTTCTGCATGCCGATGACATGGAGCCGTAGTCCATGAGTTTCTAACTTGTTAGTATTCCATTTTGTGACTATAACAGGTTATTGTCCATTTTCCAGCGATGGACATCAGGTTCCTGCCAGTTTTTTACTGTGACATACCATCCTGGAGTGAATTAAGTTTCAAAATTGGCTACCTACCCAACAAATACTTTCCATTTATTTACACCATTCAAGATATAATTACACATTCAAGGGTCCTGAAATATAGGATCTTACTGGAATATTAACAAGGTTATTTCAGGGTTTCTCCACCTTGGCGCTATATAACCCTCTGTAATCTAATTTTACTTTTTCCATATAGAGAATCAGTTGTGCTGACACCATTTACTTCATAGTCCACCCTCTCCTCTGATTTGTAATGCTTTTTTCCCCAACATGTCTGTGATTTTGTTTCCGGGCTCACTAGTTTATTTGACTTGTCTATTCTTGTGCTGTTAATACTGTACTATTTATGATAGTCATCAAACTTGTTCAATGACTTTCTGTAATTTGGACTAGAATTTCTTTGAATTTACTGCTCTTTGGGGAAGAAATCACATATTTACATCACTTGGGGTTTCTGAGCCATGACATATTTCTCTATTCAGGTCTTTTACTGCCTTCAAGAATATGTTATAATTTCCTCCAGACATTTTACACAGCTGTTAGATTTGTTCTTATACTTTTTGTTACTGTCATTGCTGCCTTTTTTTCTTTTTTTACATTTTCTAATCAATTATTAATGGTATAGGAGAATGCTGTTTGTTCTTGTTTGTTGATCTGTATCTAACAATCTTGCTGAATATTCTAACTTACAGATTTTGGCATTTTTCTGCAGATAAGGGCAGTTTTTATTTTCTTTTACATGTTATTTCTCTTTCATATTGGTTAGGACCTCAAATAGAAGCAATAACAGGCATTCGTATGTTATTTCTGAAGGTAATGGGAATATTTATAACATTTCATCATTTTAAGTGTGATGTTTATTGTACGTTTTTGATAGGTGCTCTTTTTCTAGATGCATTTGAAGCAGGCTATGATTTAGTGGAAATAGAAAACATACATACCACAGACACATATCCATACATGCACACATACATGCATATACACATACATGCATATACATACACATTCATACTCATATACACCCACATTGTAAAATTAAACTAAAATTCTGATTTGTTTAGCCAAAGACTCAGGAAATGATTGGAAGCCAGGTGGCCTACCAGAGTATAGCATATACCACACAGCTCAGCCCAGCTTTGAAAATCTTTTCTCCAGCTCTGACGATTTCTCTTGGTAGAGTCCTCTCTCAGCTGGCTATAAACCTGGTGGAAAAGGGCGATGGTGGCCTTGGTGTAGCCCCAGCTAATAGCCAGCACTGCTGTTACCATGGCAACATTGTCTCCTGTGCTCTAAACACCAATGAGAGGGGATAAGCTAAGTCTTGTTTCCTTACCATCTATACCAGCCCCTTCTATTAGCATTCTGACAGCTCTGATTGTTCAAGTCATTTCTGCCTTGACTCTTCTTTATGAGGTAATTTTTTCTGATATGAATATAGGTTAGGAATGAGATCCTACAAAACCTTCTTAGCACAGCAGCATATCTCTGCCTTTATCCATTGTATCAGGGATAATATGCTGAGGGTTGAAGTGATAATCTAATGAGAACTGGAGGTTGGCTGCAATTATATGTATTATCAGAGCCAGTATTGCTTCTTAGGAAACAAAAACAAAACCAACCCCTAAAAAAAAAGCTCCACAAAACTCAGCCATATTGTCATGTTGTTCAGTATCTGACTTGTGTTTTCTGTTTTATCCCAGGAATCCTTAATCTGGCATCAGGAGTGGTAGATTTGCTTCAGTTCTATTTCCCAGAATCTTTTGATCGCCTTCCAAGGGATTCTGGCCTCTTTGATGGTCCCAAACCGACGGTCCTGGAGTCTTGTAGTGTAAGCGACTTAGCAATTTTGCTACAAGGGAACAAGAGGAAAACCCAGACCATTGAATTTGGGGCGCACCAGGTGAGCTTCTTGGGATTGTATGCTTTGAAATAAAAGGCAGTTTGCAATTGAAAAAAGGTTTGAGAGGCTAAATTATTCTACAAGGTAGAATTCAGTAGCCCTTCTCCCAGAATGGGTAAGTTTCAGAGATGGGTGAGTGACTAATTGTTATTACTATTTCCACTAGCCTGACTGACCAAGTCCACACTGGCCACTTCTCCTAATCACATTTCCTACCTCCTATAGAAATGGTCTGAGCTTCGCCAGATTTGTCTTTGTAGAATTTGATGTGTTTTTTTCTCTTATCTCCCTTTTCTTTTTCTAGGTAATCCTTGTAGCCAATGAAATGGCAAAGGAGAAAATTCCAGAAGAGCTGGGGTTAGCACTTGTGCTAACAGTATATGAAGCAAAAGGCTTAGAATTTGATGATGTCCTCCTTTACAACTTTTTCACCGATTCTGAGGTACGTCACACCCACTTCTTTTCACACACCGCATGTATATGTGTGAGTTACACTGCCACTCCAGGAAAGAGAATTTGGAGCTGAGTAGAAGAGTTTGTCACAGGTGCCTATTTCTTTTTGGAGCATCACCCATTTAGTGTGGGGCTTGGAGTGTTCAGTGTGGTTTTGACAATGGCTATGGGTTGTTTCATGGTGTGTCCTGGGCTGGTTCTCCCTGTGCCCTTCCCTTCCCTGTTCTCTTGTAGTCTTCTTCTGAATGCCTGGTACCCAAGTGCCAGCTTCTGGTTTTCACAAGCTACTGTTATCCTTGACTCCCAAGGATGCTCAAGTTGGAGTCAGCTCTAAGGAGAGCCTTACAAATGAAGGCAAGGTTAGCAGTGTCCACCAGTGAGGACAGAAGTGGGCAAGGTCAGTCCGTAGAGAGAGACAACTCCAGGAGGACAGATGAGGCTTGGTTCCTGCCCACTGGATCAGGTAATGCGGGGCATGAGGACAGCCGCCCGCCTGCCCGGGAGCTCCCTTCTGGCACGGCTTCGCCTCCACTGCTTGCCACCCATGCAGACAGCGGCAGCGAAAATGTCCCCAGACTGACCCCCAGTGACCTCTGTGCCAGCTCACTGCTTTGACTTGATGGTCTTTCTCCCCAAACCCAGTGCATTATGGGTAGAGCCACTAATTCAAGACCATTGTCCTTGGTTTTCTAGCCACTGATTTCTCTTCACCAGTGTCTTTGGTGGGGACTCAGGCTGGCTGCTGGCTGCTGACTGCTGTGGCATCTTCTTTGGGGACTTAGCTGGCTGTGCCCTGGTCCCTGTTGCAGACTTCTGCACATGACGCATGCTTGAAGGGCTGTTTTCATAGCCAAGTCAGGAGGACCATTAGCTTTGACACCTTAAACTCTGCCCCAGAATCGACCCGTTACGTGGAGTCCTTATTTATTTTTTGTGTGATCTTTGAGAAAATGTCATTTTTGACTTGCTAATATCTACGACTAATATTGTTATGGGTGCTTTACAGTTTGTGAAATACCTTCTGCATGTGTTGTCTCACTTTACCCTCCACCAGCCCTCTGAGGTTGTATGTATTTTTATTACCCTCATTCTACAGATAAGGCTGAGGGTCATGAAAATTAAGTGAATTGCCTATAGTCATAATGTAGGTGGCAGAGCCTAGAAATGAACTCAGATGCTTTGAGTTCTAAATTCTGCTGTACCCCCTTCCTTTTAAAGCCCTGCATGCAAATCAGCCTCCAGAACCTTCCACAGTGAGTAGTATATCATTGCCGTACCTTAAGTGCATTCCTTTTCTATTGACTTTTGCTAATAAAATCAGATGCACTCTCATTAACCCTGGGACCATTTTTAATCTCTGAGGACTAACTGTTTTCTCTCATAATACATCCATTGGTTATGGTTGGACCGAGGCTCTCCCAAAGAGGAAGGGGTAAGACTTTGTTGTTCCTGTCCCTTCTTAAATGCCAGTTGTATGCTTGTGCCAGTAAGAAGCTCAAGGAGCTCTGGACTTACAGATCTGTAACTTGTGATTGCCTCTGTTTTGTGAAAGAAAAGCACAGTGGTTGTCTCACCTTGATCCTGGAAATGGCAAAGGCCCAATACCTTGACCCTGTGCTCCCACCAGTGGCTCAGTGAGTTGCATGAAATTAAAACAATCAGAAATGGAATCTTTGGGTAACATCCGCTTCCTCCTATGCACACAGTAAGACTTATAGAAGGACCTCTGATGTGGTGCTTCCCAACGTACCAGGAATGTAATTGTGCATCCCTGGTACAGAGCACACCCTCAGTCTGTCATTTACAACCTCAAGACCCCAAAGCATCATTCAGCATGTGAGAGGAAAAGCTTTAATCAAAGCAGAGGAAAGACAGGGATCACATAAGTCCCTGGTCGCCTGTGGGCTGGCTGCTCAGTGGAGTTTCTCTCGGGGGACTGGATGAAGGTGTGCAATAGAGATTGTTGTGTGGGGTGGGGGAACTGTGGAGAGCTCCTCTCCATCCTCTGTCTCTTCTCCCACCCCGCCCTGGTTTATGTCTCTGGCAGCCACTGTCTTTGCAGAATCTGCCACTTGGGTATGTGTGCATGTGTGCACGTGTAGTGGGGGGTTCTCATTGCCCTGGTTTGTGATTCTTCTCTCTGGAGCATTTACTACCCGTTCCACCGCAGGCCACCAGGGCCACTTTCTGAGATGGGGAAGGAACCAGGGAATGTTACACCAAGTCCTTCTCCTATAGAATTTTGCCTCATTTTGGGGAGAGACAGTAATTCTCCCTGTCACCCCCAAACTCCCCTCCTGTGGGGACTTGGAAGGATGCCTTCCACTTACAGTCTGCCCCAGTGGGGAGTTCTTTCCTTCACACTCATGAGCAAATAGCACAGGAAGAACTTTGAAAACCACAACTTTCGTGGGTTGCTTAACTAACCTAGAGAGCAGGCGCCATCACGGTAGGCTTGCAGCTTTACAAAGAGGACAGTCATCGTGTGTCCTGAAGCTGACTTTTTCACTTCCGACTACTTAAATGATTACATGATTCACATCTCTTTTCAGAATCTGGTGATTAATCCCATAATTGGTTATGAGCATAACCCTTCGTATTTGTTAGTGTTAAAGCCTTTCACCTAATGTTCATATAGTTTATGTTCTGGGGTAACTTCCAGGAGGTAATGAACTGTATTCACTCCATTTTTTACTCCTCTTTGAAAAGATACGTAGGTGGCGGGTAGCACCATTTTAGGAATAGAAAAGTCTAGGAGAATTAACACGCTACTAACATAAGACAGGTAAAGTATGAAGCCTGACATTTCATAGGAATTCTGGACTCTAAATAAATACTGCATGTGATCTGGGCACGTTAGCTTCACCAGGTCTGCAAACCATGGCCCCAGGGCCCAGCCCAGCCCACTGGCTGTTTGTGTATGGCCTGTGGGCTAAGAGTGGTTTATACATTTTAAAGTGGTTAAAAAAAATTAAAAGGAAAGTAATATTTCATGACACATGACAATTATTTTCAATTCAATTTTAGTTTTGAAATGTACACACCATGCCCATTGATTTACATGCTGACCATGGCTGCTTTTATATTGCAGTAGCAGAGTTGTGTAGTTAGAAGAGAGACCACAGGGCCCATAAAGCCAAAAATATTTATTTGACCCTTTAAAGGAAAAATTTGCCTACCTCTGGTCCATATAGTCAGTGTGGTTTTGTGGTTTGAGTTTGACATTGATGATCTTTTATTTTCCCAACAAACTTGGGTAGTTCCAGAATCCTCATTTTATAGAGCAGAAAAATGAGACCAAAGAGACAAATGGTTTGTGCAAGGTCACACAGCTAGTAAGTGAAAGGAATGAGATATGAATTTGTTCTGTCTGAGCTCAGAGTCTACCTTGAGCAGTGTATCAGCAGCTCTGGAATATTCTCCCATCCATGGTTGAATACTTGAGTTAGAAAATTCTGCCTACTGTATTTCTGACTCTAAGGGCATCTCTTAAACATATAGTGAAAAGGGGTGAGGACACTGTGTTCTTTTCTCCATGCTACTTGTCGAAATTCTTTCAACGAGAACTTCTTGGGCCCTTAGTGTGCCTTCTGGAAGTGGGCAATGTGCCTGACTTCTCAGCTCTCCTGACCAAGTCTCTGGGGGAGTTTTCCTGGAAGCTTCCCTGATCCCTGCCTGCACAACCTGAGTCCCATCCCACCATTCTGAGGCCATAGGATGGCCTCTCCTCACAGCTGGGGCTGATGGCCTGGCTGCCAGGCCAGGAAGAGGGGGGCTCAGTTCTCTATGAGGCCCAGGGTGGCTGTATGTAGAGTTGAAAAGCATATTCTATTGGTCTTTAATTTGTCGTTATTGTTCAGGCTTACAAGGAGTGGAAGGTCATTTCCTCATTTACACCTTCGTCATCGGACTCCAGAGAGGAAAGCGGGCTGCTGGTTGACGTGCCCCTGGAGAAGCCCAGCCCGTCTCAGAGTCGCTCTCTCATGGTGAATCCAGAAATGTACAAGGTGATTTTCTGCTGTTCATGCGCACGAGTGTTTGACAGCGAGCCAGTGAACAGTCTTGGACGAGAAGATGAGATGGAAGATGGACGCTGGCACCTGGCTTGCCTTCCTCTACATCAGCCCTGGGGGTGGAGGCAGGCGAGGGAGCAGCAAGGATCTCCCTGTTTCAAACTTCCTTGTCTCAGCCGGGAGCTGGGCCTGATGGGTGGGGCACTGTCTGAAAGTGGAGGGGTGGGTTGTACCTCTGTTCCCCTCGGGAACTGGGCTCTGTTTAGAAATTTCGATGTTGCTGATGGGAACTCAGAAGTGAGGTCCGGAACTATACTTAGTAGAGACTTGTGCAGCAGCCTTGGCTGTTAAGGTACCCGGCTTTCCTTGCCCTTTACATCCAGTGATGTCACGGAGAAGGAGGCAAAGCTGAGAAGTTCTCTGGAGTTCTCGACAGTGGGGTTGATGGGTAACTCAAGAAAGTGAGGGTGGCATCACACAAAGTTGAACCAGCAAAACCAACAACTAGGAGAAAGTACTATCTTAGTTTCATGTCTCAAACGGAGTATAAAATAAACAGAACAGCAGTTATCAGGTTAGTTCTGTAAATGCCTCGAAGTCTCTGGGGAAATAGAAGTTAAATCACTGCCAAGCTTTGCAAACTTCTAGGTAGCCGCAAATCCATTGTCTTGAAAGGTGCGCTATTTAATCAAGGAGGCCGTCCCTGTGTCCAAGTCATAATCTCCTTGTATCCACAGTGCTCAGTCATGGGGTAGGCCATGAGTTATTCATCCTAGCGATAGTTATAATAGAAGTATAGGACTGGTTTCACTTTTAAAACTAAGTTGCTGTAACTGTGTAAGATATAACCATTGGAGTAAGTGGAGTGGAGGTACATGGGACCTCTATACGATCTTTGTACTTCCTGTGAATCTATGATTATTTCAAAAGATAAAATTACCGCAAATTCAAGGGTGGTCCTGAACTAATGGTGTGCTCCCTGCTAGAGCTTAACTGTGCTTATCTGTGCTGAGGCCATGGTGAGCACCTCAGGTCTTCATGGCCTGTGCTAGACTTCCCTATAATTTACTCTCTGTATTTCTCCAGAATCAGAGTAAGCCCATTGAAGTGTGTCCCCTTGTAGCTCCAGACAAAGGGCTCATCATCTTTGTCCTCAATCTTGGCTTTAGCTCCTCAACGGAGAGCTGAAGCAGCTGTACACGGCCATCACCCGGGCTCGCGCCAACCTCTGGATCTTCGATGAAAACCCGGAGAAGCGGGCTCCTGCTTTCAAATATTTCATTCGAAGAAATTTTGTACAAGTTGTGAAGACAGATGAAAATAAAGGTAAGATCTCATTAACATATTTTGGTTGTGGGACAGAAAGTATGTTACTCCCAGTTGTCCTTATGGTCAGGTGTAAAGGGTATAGGCTTTGAAAGCTCCTTCTGTTCTGAGAAGTGAGTTCCTATTTATTGGTGAGATGTGCTGGGCAGTGTGCTTGTAATGGTGTTGGGAAGGTTAACTCCTTTAGGGAAGATTTTTAATTTGTCCTTTCATAGTGAGGCTTATGATCAAGGGTTAGAGGAGATAGGCTCTGTTGAGAGAATCCAAATTGCTGTGGGCTTTTGGATCGCTGATTGGCAGTATCTGTGAAAATAAAGAATGAGCAAACCTTTTGACCCAGTAATTCCACTCTAGGAATCTAGAGATACTCTTTTTTATTTCTTTAAATATGTTTTTATTGAGACAGGAAGGGAGAGGGAGGAAGAGAGAAACATTGATGAGATAAAAACACCAGTCAGCTGCCTCCTGCACGCCCCCTACTGGGAATCCAGCCCAAAACCCCGGGCATGTGCCCTGACTGGGAATCGAACTGGCAACCTCCTGGTGCATGGGATGACACGCAACCACACCAGCTGGGCTGGAGATATTCTTGTATAAAATCTCAAAGATACATGAACAAGAGTGCTCATCATAGCCCTGTTTGTGATTATACAAAACTAAAAATGACCTACATGCCCCCCAGTGTGAAACTGTTCACAGGTGGGTGTGGCGATGTGGGCCTTTTACTTTTCCCCTTTATACGCTCTATGCTGGTTGCAGTGTTGTTTTTTAAACATTTTCATACATTGTTTTCATAATTTACAAAGACTAACTAATTAAAAAATGGAGTGAAGGTGTCCTGGTAGGATAACTTGGGGAGAAATGATCAGTCCTTCATGAGGGAGAAAACTGGCCTTTCTTGTGGGTTAGCTGTTGAGTTGGCTCCTCCAGGTCTTAGTTAATTTCTCCAAAGACGGGAGCAAGCGCAGGTCTCGGCTGCTGCACAGAGGTATTCGCTGGCTTCCTGAGCATGTTTCGGCAGGTTCTGTGGAGGCTATTTCTGGTCACAGCCAATAGCTCAGTTGGGACCCAGGATCAGACGTTCTGTCCCTGGTGTAGTGGGAAAAGCCAAGGGCTTGGGGTTAACCTAGCATCTTATTAGCATTCTCCACCTGTGTGGCCACAGGACCTTGCTCAGGCCCCACTTTCTCTCGCTGGGCCTTCACTTCCTCAGCTAAAAGGAAAACGAGTGGATTAGCCTACTGTGGCCGTCCTTCATCTTTCCTGCACGCCTTTCATTCTCAAAACCTGTTCAGGCACCCTTTATAAGAGATCATCAAGATAGGCATTTTAGAAATTTAAACATTCAAAATGAAAAAGGATTATAATTCATTATGTCTTGGTAGCGTTAAGAATACAAGAAAGTACAGTCTATGATAAAGTTTTCGAGAACATCAGTTCCCTCTGTGCAAGGGAGCTGGGGATGAGTGTAGTGACTGCGATTTGGGTTTCTTCAACATGGTGCCAGCCGAATTCACTGCCCTCTGCAGAGAAACTACAGAGCTTTGCTTGGGGATAAAAATCACCCGGGCACTGATAGTGCACACTAAGTCAGGACAAGATGCTGCGAAGTCATCTTTGCACACAGTGCTGTAGAGCATGGCAGAGGGCCCATGGGGCAGGGGCAGGTTGCAAGGCTTAACGTGTGTTTTTGCACCTTCTAAACAAAGCCGGCATATCTGCCTTGCTCCCTGGTTTGTATCCATTGTCCTGGGCATCTCTGACCCCTTACTCTCAGTTTTGGCTGTCCAAGTTGTCCTGGTCGTCACTGTCATTCATGTGCTTGATGGAGCTGTGGCTCAACTCACAGAGAGTGTTGCCCACGGCTGGTGATGCTCAGGGGGTGGAGGGAGGGGAGCCGATACAGTCACCAGCTGACTGGTGAGGATAACAGGTGGGTCTGACAGCAGGTGGTTACAATAGTTTGTCCACCAAGGGGAGTGTCTGCAGATTTGGAAGCACTGTAAAATCCTGTCACCTGTCCCTTGTTATGGCCCCGACGTGAGTTTGCGAAGAGCTACATGGCTTTGGATTTTCAAGGAGGAATTAGAAATGCTACCTGCCTTCTAATCCATAGCCGTAGAAAAGGAAGGCAGAGCAATGTTCAAAAAGCAAACAGCATCTTTCTCACCTCTGCGCTGTCCTTCCAAAACCCACAGCAGCCTGGCCCGGTAAGCTGTGGTATATCTGTAAGTGAATGCCAGGAAGATAGCCACAGGTGTGTTCGTTTGCTAGGTTTGCCATAACAAAATACCCAGACTGGGTGGCTTACACAACAGACATTTAGGCTACAGTACTGAAGGCTACAAGTCCGGCAGATTCGGCTTCTTCTGAGGCCTCTCTCCTTGGCTTCTAGATGCCTGTCCTCTGTGGGACCCTCTGGCATCTCTCCTATGAGTCAGTCTCCTTTTCTTATAAGGACAGCAGTCAGATTGGATCAGGCTCCACCAGAACAGCCTCATTTAGGCCCGATGTCCAAATACAGTCACATTCTGAGGGACTAGATTAGGGCTTCAACCTGTACATCCTCAGAGGACGGGAGGGGGACAATTCACCCCACAACAGCGGGTTTAAGTGGGCAGATGCCCAGAGAAGAAATTAACTTTTATTTCCATTTTAGACTTCGATGATAGCATGTTTGTTAAGATCTCAACTCCTGAGGAGTGGATCGCACAAGGGGAATACTATGCTAAACACCAGTGCTGGAAGGTAAGAGCTGGGCCAGGAGGCGGGGGAGGTCTTGGTCATATTTTCCACCAGGGCAGGGCGAGGGTGCTGGTGCTTATTGAAGCATCAGGTCACCCCTTGATGAGGGGTGTTCCCTGTTGTGCTCCTTCCCCAATACAACCATGACAGCCCTTCACGTTGCCCGAGCGCCAGCATGTGTGATAGGAAAATGGAAGATTTTGCCCCACTGAGGAACACTTCTGGTTATTTTCTTTCCCTCCTGTGTTCTACTCTTAAAAGCTTTTGCTCAGTCATATGACTTTATTTTTAATCCTCACCTGAGGATATGTTTATTGATTTTAGAAAAAGAGGGAGAGAGAGAGAGCAAGGGAGAGAAACATTGATACGAGAGACAAACATCGATCGGTTGCTTCCCCTACTCGCCCTGACCGAGGATCGAACCTGCAACTTTTGGTGGATGGGATAGTGTTCCAGCCAACTGAGCCGCCTGGCCGGGGCAGTCATATGACATTTTAACACAGTAATGGATTGGTCCTCTTGTTTTTTTTAAAAAGTTGATCGGACAGACTTCACTCCCCATGTGAGTCTGGTGGGCATAGGTTAAGCTTTTTCACTGGACTGAGCTGACTAATTTCTAGCCACAGGACATCTTAGTAAGCCTGAGCGGTCTTCTTCCGAGAAATGTTATCACTGGCAGTCCTCTTGAAATATTGGAACCAGCTTAAAGAGCCCCTTCCTTTCCCTCACAGCATCCCTGTGGATCACGTGGTCTCGGGTGGGGTACCAAGGCATGTTATGTCTGCTGTGATGTTGTGTTAATGGCGTCTTCACCTGCAGGTCACAAACACCTTCAGTTCAACCAAGTCCACATGGGCCCAGTCTCATTCCATCTCCTCCTGGGTCATCTGCAGCTTGTCAGAGGCATCCCCCTCACCGTCATGTGATGGCTGTGGCAGTGCCAGCCATCTCAGCAGCATCCCAAGCAGGAAGGAAGGGCAGGCACTTTCTTCTCACGGGTCTCTTTTTTTATCATGAAGTCCCCAGTGGACTTCTCCTTACATCTCATTGGTCACTACTAGGTCGCATGCTCATGCCTGGCTATAGGGGAGCCTGGGGGAGCAATCTCATCTGGTAGTTAGGGTCTTTCATGGGAGACAAGGGCAAGAAAGGGAGGAGTGGGTGTGGGTAGCAGACCAACAGTGTCTGCCACCATGGGCATGACCACACGGAAATGCACATTTCCCTAAGATCTCACTCCCCCAGGTCCCTGGAGGGCCCCGTGCTTGCAAGTGCTGGGGCTGAGTTTGGGGCAGAGCACTGTTTGTCCTTCCTATTGCCTCTGTGCTCACGCTGGGCTTTGGTCCAGGTCCTCAAATGTTACCAGAAAAGTGCCTGCAGTTTCTCTTGCTGCACCTGAGCAAATGTTTTGAGAGAGTGATTTCTCCAAAGAGCTTGTCCGGCTGCTTTAATGATCCTTCTTTTCATTGGAATTTCTTAGCATTGGACCCGAGTGAAGGTACTGGGAAGTGAGGAGTGCAATGAAAATGCAAGTCAGAACTTACTGGAAGTCACTTTTGGAGGTGCCTTCTGTCTGACCTGCCTGGAGAAGGAATCCCAAGAGTTTTTTCCCCCCACAATTTTTAGGAGAATTTTGTCTCCTATGGCAGGGAAAGTGGTTTTAAGTCTACAGCAAGTAAGTCATATCTGGGGTTCATGTTTTTCTGCATAAAAAACAACCCCAAAACTTAGTGGTTTAAAACAAGTCACTCATGCATCTCCCAGTTCTGTGGGTTGGCAAAGCTGAGTCCAGCTGAGTAGTTCTAGTCTCAGCTGGGGGCCTCACATGTCCGAACTCAGCTGCCAGTTGGCAAGCAGGCTGCTTCTGGGGGTTGGCTGGCTCTTGGTTTGGGTGTTGGAGGTGAATGGGTTCCTGGATCACGTGCCCTTCAGCCTACAGTAGGCTGACCTGGGCTTGTTCACATGATGCCTGAGCAGGGTTCAAAGAGGGTGGCAGACATACAGTCCTCTCGAGGCCTGACCTGGCCTGGCCTGGGAGTTGTTCCAGTGTTGCTTCCGCTGTGTTCTGCTGGCCAAGCAAGTCACAGCTCAGATCAGAAGGGAGGGGAAATGGGCAGCCTTTTTTTTTTTTTTTTTTTT